GAGGGGGGCTCCCCTGCCCTCTCCTGAGGAGAGTGTTCATACGGCATGACACCAAGACGGGCCCGAGGCCAGGAAGGCCCTGCACAGCCCAGCTCCAGTTCAAAGCAGTGACCCCACGCTCTGTGATAGCAAAACACAAGGCTGTCGTGAGCTTGGCTCTTCCAGGAGTTGCGGGGGCGAGTGGGGGTGGGGGTGGGGAGTGGATAGGGGGGAGTGAAGCACCCTAGGGTTTCCATGGACCTGTATGCCCGAGGGCTCGGCAGGAGGCTGGAGGCGGGGCCCTGAGCGCCCCCTCTCTGGGCGCCTGTGTGGCCAACGTGGTGGGTGTGGGGCGCAGCGCACTCTCCTGAGGAGCAGGGGCCCACGGAGAGCTGCCACAGCAGCTTCCGAGCCAGTGTTGCCCGTCTTTTAGATTAAAACATCCAGGACCTGCCCCAGCAGCAGGCACCTCACCGTTGCTGGCCGTTAATGTCACCAGCCTCTGGTCTGCGCCACCTCCAGCTGCCGGGCCTGTGGGTTTCCCTTCTGTGCCCTCTCTTCCTGCCAGCTGCGGGCCCTCAGGCTGCTCGGCCACGCCGCTGGGCCTGGTCTTCACAGCTGCTCCAGGCTGTGGTCGTCTGTGTCCTGGGCCCGGCACAGGCAGCGTGGCTGGAGCTCGGGCGAGACCGTCCTCGGCCCTGTGCCCTGTGGAGCCTCAGGAGGTGATGCCTCCCAGCAGCCGCTGGCCCACAGGCAGAAAGCACCCACTCCCCCTGCACAGCTTTCATCCTGTTTTACAATGAAGTGCCGCCCAGGAGCGTGGGCCCCTCTGAGAGCCTTTGCAAGTCATCACCGATCCAGCACCCGAGTCAGGACAGAAGCACCACATCACAGCAGGTCCTGCTCACACCCCGCCCAGGACACCACTTCCGGGCTGGTGCCCAGCAGGCCTTCAGCCTTCTTCCTGTGTTTCACTTTTTTTATTTTTATTTCCATTTTGCCACCTGAGACCAGTGCACTCTCTGAGCAAAGCCGCCTGCTTGGGCTGCGGGGAGCGTGGTGCGTGTGGCGCCGGGAGAGCCGTGCGAGCCGAGCCGCTGTGCTCGTCCTGCTGCTCTGCTCTGAGCGTCTGTGTGTGAGCGCCTCACGTGTGTTTGCTCCCTCTGTCGCCGGGGACAGTGCAGCTCTGGTGACCGCGGATGCTTTCGGGGTGCAGAGTGCAGACCCGGGAGGGACTGCTGACTCAGCATGAGTAGGTTCGATCTCAGTAGAAAATTCCCATCGTTTTCCAAAATGGCCAGATTCACACTCCCTCCAGCGGGACATGAAGGAGCTGGCGGCCCCATTCTCAGCAACACAAGTATGATCAAGCCTTTGAGCGTTTGCCTGTTGGAACGGTGTGATCTAGGTCGACTTCTTTATTGTGGTCTTAATTAGCATTTCCCAGAGCTCTAGCAAGGTGACTGCACTATGTCCCTGGGCAACCTGTGATCCTCTGTCTCAGTTTAAGGGGGGAGTCCATCAAGGCACCAGGGAAGGTGGAGATGGGGCATAAGCCTGGAGACCAGAGCTCAGAGCCCGTGTACTGTCCCAGGACGCCAAGGTCAAAGGGCAGGGATGTTGGGAGTGGCCCATGGACACTGTGCTCCCGCTGCTTTCTCACTGTGCGTATACATTCTCAATGCTTACTCGTAGTCTTAGCAGTTGTCGTAGTTCCTTAAATCTCCCAGCTCTCCTGCTTGTTTACACTAATCTATACTAATAATAGAGGAATATGCAAATTGTCCAGGACACCGTCACATAATGACCAGATCAGCAGGCTGCGTCCCACCCCCTGCACTGGCCCCGGGTAGGAGCCCAAATCCTAGCCTACCTAAAACATGGCTGTGTGCCATCATATCAGTAAGAAAGGGACATCCCACACTTGCCTGGGGCATCCAAGTCACTGGCCTAGAGAATCAGGGTTTCAGATAAGGGGACACAGCATTCCACTGCTATCTTGAGTTTGTGGTTTTCAAGGAAACAGCCAGAAGGGATGATAAACCCTCCCCAAACAGCTCAGCCAGCGCCTATCTAAGCTGTGGCTTCGTTTAAATCGAGCCTTTCTCGCAGTGAATGACCCCAACCCTCCCTGGATCAGGCAGGTTCCTGTGGGGCGCGATCTCCACGCAATACAACAGGGGCCCCAGTTTCATCCCTGGTGATCTCATGCATGCTAGCTTGGGGCAGCGGGAAGGAAGGGAAAAGGCATCATGCGGGGCAGCTCGGGCGAGCAAGCAGAAGGAAACCATGTCTGGCGGACACTCCCCTGCCACCCCCTTCAACGTGTAAGAAGAATCGAATAAACCCATGCAAACACCTCTCCCCTGCCCTGGAGAGATCCAGGACAGAAGGGCATCCTGCCCAGGAATTGTGTACCTGCTTCCCACCCCCTTCCTCCAAATGGACAGGTTAGGGGGTTAAGGGGAGGAGGAGGAGCCTTGCAGGAAGGGGATCCCCAGGAACCGCACCCCTGCCCTCCCTCAGGACCTGACCTCTTGGAGTGCAGGGCCTGACCCTGCCCCCAGCAGATTTGCATATCCCAGACCCTCCTGTGCTTCCAGGCACTGGGCATTCCCACCTCTTCCCTGCCTCCCAGCCGCTGACCCTCACTGTCTCCTACCCCAGAAGCACTCTGTCCTCCCCAACTTTCGGTCTTTATAGCCTAAATGCATGGTGGGCTTAGTTGCTTCTCCATGGATTTTATTTGATAAGAACCCAGTGAAGTCGCTTAGCAACTGAGCTGCTCAGACTTCATCAGGGACAACGAATGACACACCTTACTTGGCTTTGATAGCAAAGCAATCTTATTCTTTTATTTTTTTAAATAGATATTTATTGATTTCAGAGAGGAAGGGAGAGGGAGAGAGATAAGAACATCAGTTATGAGAGAGAATCATTGATCAGTTGCCTCCTGCACATGCCCTATTGGGGATCGAGCCCGCAACCCAGGCATGTGCCCTTGACCAGAATCGAACCTGGGACCCTTCAGTCCTCAGGCCAAAGCTCTAGCCACACCAGCTAGGGCAAGCAATCCTATTCTTAAAGACTTGATTTTTGTCATAAACAAGTGGATTTGAATCATATCAAACCAATATACATTTTTAATGAAATGTCTTCTTTTCTACCTTAAAGCTTATGTTGTATAATCTATACTAATAAAAGGGTAATATGCTAATTAGATCCAACGTCTTCCGGATATCCATCTGGACGTCCTTCCGGACAAAGCCACCATGGTGAGGGCCAAGGCAGAGGCGGTTAGGGGTGACCAGGCTGTCAGGGGAGGGCAGTTAGGGGTGATCAGGCCGGCAGGCAGAGGTGATTAGGGGTGATCAGGCAGGCAGGGGAGTAATTAGGGGCAATCAGGCCAGCAGGGGAGCAGTTAGTGGCAATTAGGCCAGCAGGCAGAGGTGGTTAGGGGCTATCAGGCAGGCAGGCAGAAGTGGTTAGGAGCAATCAGGCAGGCAGGCGAGCAGTTAGGAGCCAGCGGTCCCAGATTTCGAGAGGGATATCTGACTGCTGGTTTAGGGATTGGGCCTAAACCGGCAGTCGGACATCCCCTGAGGGGTCCTGGATTGGAGAGGGTACAGGCCGGGCTGAGGGACCCCCCTCTCGTGCATGAATTCATGCACCAGGACTCTAGTGCATATATAATAAACAAAAATAGCTAGTCCTGTGTGCCCCTTGTGAAGTAGGCTTGGTTCTCCCCATGTAAAAGCCTGTTTGGCCTTTACTGTGTAGTTGGTTCTTAGTTTGACAGCAACCAACTGGCCTCCATGGGCCACGTGGCTGGAAGCATAGCTCCCACTCAGGGTGCTGGGCTGGCAAAGGGGCAAGAAAGGCTGTCTCTCCACCTGCACCAGCCGCTGAGCTGCGGGCGTGGTGGGAGCCCATCCATCATGCACAGCTGAGCAGGACTGAGAGCTTTATTTTTTAACCAATTTCCACCCCACACACCACAGCTCAGCTCTCAAGTCTTGGGTTAGCTTTGGAGAAGAATCTATAGGAGCGACAACGGGAAAGTATGGCCATGTCTGTTCCCAAAGCCCAACTGGGAGGAGGCGTCACAAATGTCCCCCAAACATAGAAGGCCCAGGCAGGTGGGCACATTGGAGCTCTTCCCAGGATGTAGTGCATTTGGGCCCTGAGCATTTGGGGCCTCGGTTCCCTCGTTGTAGGAAATGCCAGGACTGCACGTCTCTCTAGCTTGTCTGGACTCACCCTCTCTCCGCTCTCATGATCCAACAGGCTCCAGTTGCTAGAAGGGGAAAATGGGCTGAGAGCCAGGTGGCTAAGCAGCTCATTTGGGGAGGTCCCGCCCATTCCGTTCCTCTGCACCCTCGCCTGGCCTTCCCAGGGGTCTCTCTCCACTGCGGGTAAAAGCCCCCCTCTCGTGCACTGGATAAGGGAAGAGGTCACCCAGAGACCCCACCAGGACGCAGAAGCAGAACAGGGCAGTCCCTGATTTTGCCTGTCACTCCCACTCACAGTGGGTGACCTTCCCTTCTCCCAGGGTTCCTCTCACTGCGTCCTGTGCAACAGCCATGAAATCCCTCCTGAAGAAGGGAGGGCGCGAGCCACCCTGGGGGTGGTCCCGAAGTTCCCAGAAAAGTGTGCATCACCCCAGCCTGTGCCCAGCTGGTGGGAGCAGCGGCTGGGCCTCTGCCCTCAGCAGAGAGAGGAGGTGGTGGAGGGCTCACAGCCCCGCCCGCCTCGGGGCCTGTGGGTCTCAGTGCTGGCGCCTGAGCGGCTCTGCGCCCAGGTGCACCTCAGCCTCTTCTGATGCCCAGCGGAGTCCAGCCCAGGCCCTGGGACGTCTTCATCGTAAGCTCTTGGTGTCACGGAGCTGCATGGGGGCCTCCCTGGGCACGGTGGGCAAAGCCCTTGATCCTGAGGTGGGGACGCTGTGGCCGGCAGCAGGCCCGGGGCACTGTTTCTGCCAGGGGTGGGCTCGGGAGTGACTGGCTCTTCCTGTCTTCCAGGATCAGGGCCCGGGACAACAACGGGTCCTACGCCCTGTGCCTGCTGCATGAGGGCAGAGTGCTGCACTACCGCATCGACAAGGACAAGACGGGGAAGCTCTCCATCCCCGACGGGAAGAAGTTTGACACGCTCTGGCAGGTACAGGGCCATCCGGGCAGTGAGGGAACAGCCCAGAGCCTGCGAGGAAGCCCCTGGGGGTCCCTGCCCGAGACGGGCCCAGCCAGGGCCTGCCCCCAGCTCCAGGGGCCGAGTACCAACACCCAAGTTTGGGAAGCACTGGTCTAGGGTCCTCATGAGGTTCAGGCAGCTCCAGAGGTTCTGCAGCTTCTCCAGGCCCCACCAGGACTGGGAACCCCTGGGCAGTGCAGCTGGGAGGCACTGGGGTGAGAAAACAGCTGTGAAGACATTTACACACTAAGACAGTGTGCTTGGCGGGGAGGAGGGACGGAGGTGACCGATCAGACTTGTTTTGAGCTGGGAGAGGCCGGGTTGAATATAAGATGCCAGTGCCATTCTTGCTGCAAAATGAGCCGCCATTGAAATGAAGCACCTCAGACGGCAAGGCAGCATCCCTGTGCCCACCGCCTGCGGGCTCTCCGCGCTCACTGGGCGAGTTCAGTCCTGGCCAACTGCTGGCAACCCTAAGCAGCTCGCCATGCGGGGGTTGCTCAGGTGCAGTGAGCACTGACCCACGCTGGCCGCTGTGTTCCAGGGCTGCCATGGGCGGAACTAGCTTGCCTTTATTTTAAGTCACAGCATGTGATTTTAGCAAAGCATGCTGGGGCGGAGACCGAGAGGACGGGCTCTGCCTCCCGGGAGCAGCAACTGCGTGAGCTCCTGTGGGTGAGGGAGGTGAGAAACAGATGCTCCCGGGCCTGGCCAGGAGCCTCGTGTGGTAACCGCAACCAGAGGTCCCAACTCAGAATCCTGCCTCTAAACACTAGACCAGGACCCTCCTGACCTCAGTGCACTTACAGTAACCACCGCCTCCTGTGCAGTGATTAGAAAGAGAAACCCTTCTTTTCCAAATGCTGAATGTTACACTATTCTCGTCATTTACGGCATTGACCTTGTCTTTTGGTTTGTAGCTCATTAGCATATGGCTCATTATTGACCAAAGACTTTGCTTTATTTTAATGGTATCACTTTGAAAGAGCATTTAGCCTATCAAGTAGTCCACTGCAAATTAAAGAGATGAGTGGAATTCTGCCTGGCGGTATTAATTTCCCACCAGAGTCTCTTGACTCCACGTGATGTGTCGGGCGTGTGACTGTTGTCCCCTGCGCGTGCCCTCAGCTTCAGAGTCTGTTGCTGCCGCAGTGCTGAACAGCTCCGCTCATTGGGAAGTTTCTTCCCAAGACGTTGTCCCAGGCTTATGGATTTCTCTGGCGTAGTATAGTCTTCAGCCCTAATTACTTCCTTCCATTGTCTATTGTCTAACTAGCCACTGTGTCTAAGAAAGAACACCCAAAATGCTAGCACTACCTTTCAGTTTTATAGGTGTGACTCCATGGGTTTTTCTGGACAGCAACGTAAGGTGCCTCTGTGCCCGGCCCCACCCAGGCCGCCGGCGCTGTTTCTGTTGGTAATTCCTACACTAGCATTCCTTCCTGCAGCGTAGGAGTCAGCAGCAGAAGCTGGATCTGGCCCCGGCCTGGCTTGGTGCAGTCCCTGATGAAAGTGGCTTTTACACTCTACAGGATTGTTTTAAATTGTGACAGAGATGGCATGTGGCCTGAAAAGCCCAAAAATATCACTGTCTCGCCCTCTACAAAACACGTTTGCAGACCCCGCCCAGTGGGCAGTCCCTACGGGTCCACCTTACCCAGCCTCCCTTGCAGAATAGATTGTCTGAAAACACAGCAACGCTGGAGAGATGGCGGGATGTCTCCCTTGTTTTAGGGCCCTCAACACTCTTGGCCTGAGAACACACCACTGCACTTAACAGACAGGGGGCGCTCTGGGGTCCTCCCAGCAGCAGGTGAGGGCTCATCGGATTGAAACGTGCTAAGAGGGTAGATTTCATGTTGTGTTCTTACCACAATAGTTCACATTTTGAAAAAGAACTTCACCTGGAAGGATAAAATATATTCATTCAACAAACATTCACACAAGTAGGTAAGTTTGAGGACTGGAAAGGTACCAATAAACAGACAGAGAAGGGGTATCAGATATAAATATTTTAGGTTGTCTGAAGAGAAAATATCTGTTATGAGAAAAGACAAGGTGAAATATAAGGACTGTCTTTTTCTTTAAGATTTTTTATTGATTTTTATTTATTTTTTAAAAATATATTTAATTGATTTTTTACAGAGAGGAAGGGAGAGAGATAGAGAGTTAGAAACATCGATGAGAGAGAAACATCGATCAGCCGCCTCCTGCACACTTCCCACTGGGGATGTGCCCGCAACCAAGGTACATGCCCTTGACCGGAATCGAACCTGGGACCTTTCAGTTTGCAGGCCGACGCTCTATCCACTGAGCCAAACTGGCCACGGCGTTTTATTGATTTTTAGAGAGAGAGCAAGGGGGAGAGAGAAACATTGATGTGGGAGCAGAACATCAATCTGTGCCTTGTACACGGCCCCCTTCCCCCGCCCCCCCGCTTGGATCAAGCCCACAACCCAGGCCTGTGCCCTGACCTGGAATCAAACCACCAACCTTTCGGTGCGCAGAATGATGCTTAACCCACTGACCCACACCGGCCAGGGCTCAGGGCTATCTTACTGCATAGTTTTGATAAGATAAAAATAAATCCACTTGCATGAATTTACTTTTAATGTAGAAATTAGACTTCACAATCATAGTTTTCAGGAACCATTAGCCAAAGATGTCCAGGGCCTGTGAATATAAGGTTATTTTCCAAAAGGCCACCTTTCCCCATGTCCCGGCTCCTGTCACCTGTACTGTGATGGCTTCTCTCTGAAACTTTTGGGCAGAATGACTTGGTCCCTCCAAAGTCTTGGCCCCCAGCACTGTGAACAGCATTCCTCACTATTTCTCTGTCTCTCCACCAAGAAAGGAAGCACTTTAGGGCAGGAAATATGTGTCCACTCACCATCGTTCACCCCTGTCCTCTCTCAGGGCCCGGCGAAGCGGTGCTTGTTGAAGGACTAACTGACTACTGAGTTTATGTTCATAACATCACACAGATGTAGAGCATGTGAGCAAATCTTGGTTATGCAACTTGCTATGAGAGAGAGAGAGAGAGAGAGAGAGAGAGAGAGAGAGAGAGAGAGAGAAAGAGAGAGAGAGGATCCCAAAGGGAACATGGCCTGTGGACAGATGTCCTGAGTCTGAGGGTGGGAGGAGAGAGACATGGGGAGGGTCAGGCAGACACACCAAGGAAGTGAATCACTTTTAAAGTTTGAGAGGGGAGCTAGCTGCTCCAGGTACGACTCCCTTTCCTGCCACCTTACTGCACTCCTTACCGCTTCTCTTCCAGCTGGTCGAACATTATTCTTATAAACCAGATGGTTTGCTACGAGTCCTTACAGTTCCATGTCAAAAAATCGGCGGGCAAACGGGTGAGTGACTAAGACATTGGAATTTCCATCTTTTAGATAATAATAATAATGCCATAATCACCAGCCGTGTTTCAGATTCCGCCTGTTGCAAATTCAGGTGGGATGAGGCCTTGTTTTTACTGAGTGATTGATTAAAAATGATAGATTGCTCCAATTTTACATATATCATTGATAAAAAAAAATAGTCAATACCTTTAACTTTAAAAAAAACTAGTGCTCATTGCAGGGGTGAGAAGCGGAGTGGAGATAGTAATGAGGGGGAGTGTGTGCAGACGCCGCATGCTCCCCAGCAGCCGCGCTTTGCCTGATCTCGGAGGGGGTCCTGGTGCTTCCGGGCGAGCAGTAACCATCCCCTTCCTCACCAGGAAATGTGAATTTTGGAGGCCGCCCGCAGCTCCCCGGCGCCAACCCTGCGGTGAGTGTTTCCGGAAATACCGCGGCGGGGAAGCAGGGTAGGGGAGGTAAGGAAGGGCGCTTTGGGCTCACAGGAGTCGTGGTCATCACTGTTTCCATAACGCTAAAGGGACTGCAGGCGTCAGCTAGGTCTGCCCCGTTCCGAGCTAGCCAAGTTCATGTTTTGGGGGGTTAAATCCTCTCCATTTCCTAAAGGTATGCAAAAGACCATGAAACCCAGTGTTAAACTGGAAGTATGTCTCCTGGCAGATTTGGGAAAGGGCTCAGTCTGAGCCATCTGTGGACCCGCACGGCCACGTGCACGGTGGGCGGAGCACGCCTGGGGTACAGAACGTCTCCGTGTGCTGTGGGCCGATCGTTGGGTTCCGTCAGCCAGGACAGGGTTAGGGGAGACAGGCCCTGCCCCGAGGCTGCTCGCCCGGACCTCCGCAGGAAGGCCGAGGGGCAGTGCTGGATGGTCAGTGAGGAGCCTCAGGGCAGCGGGGATGCCAGAACCTACCTCCCTGCGTGCCAGGAGGAGGTGAGAGGTGGCCTGTCCATACTTCATGGGTTTGCCCGAAATGTGCCGGACGCCCCCAAAGAGAGCGAATTCCAGGCGAGGAGCTGACGCACCGTTTCACACTCAGCGCGGGAACTGGCTCCTGCTCCCTCCGGAGGTCCTCACTGTGGGCCTTTGGTCCCCCCCCCCCCCCGTGTCATCTGGGAAGTGTAAAAGCACCCCACTGCGAGCTGTGCGCCCCACACTGCACCTTTCCGGCGGCTCCTGGCCAGTCAGTCCACTGCCCCCCGTGAGCTCCATGAGGCCGAGTCCCCTTCCTCCAGGGTGGATGGCGCTGGAACTCAAAGAACCCAAGCGCTCTGTTTAGCCGCGTGTCACCCAATGGCTTCCAGAAGCCAGGGCTTTGGGACGACTTGTTACTGACTGATGAGATGCGCACAGAAGAAAGGTGCACAGCCGTGTCCCCCCGTGACCGCCCACACGCCCGGCCGCCCCCAGGGAGGCGCGCAGTGGGCTGGCAGGTGTGCCTGCACTTTCTTGGTGATTTACCTGCAGCTGGAGCTGAACGACTCTGTGAGGCACTGGCTGTTTAATGCAACAGCCCCAATCGGATAGCCTTTTGTGGAAAATAGTCCCCAAGTGATTTTCCAGGTCCTTAGCTCGGGCGCCCAGCTCTCCTCACAGAATTCCTAACGGTTAAGAGCGAGTCACGTGGGCACAGCCCAGAGGTCCGGCATTGTGGTTAGAAAGCGCGTTAAAAGGAGCATGTTGTGGACCGTAGACCATATTTGTCTTCTCAAACACTGACTCTTCCTCTTTGCTGTTACGGTTTCTAGACTTGGACAGCAGGAGGAATAATCTCAAGGATCAAATCATACTCCTTCCCCAAGCCTGGCCACAGAAAGGTACTCACGCGCCCCCTGCTTGCTGCCCCTGGCTGAGTGGTCGGACTGACCCACGCTGGGCACCCTGCTGTGTGTGCTGCTTGCCTGCTCTGTGCGCCTCTGCCCTCCTGCCGCTCTGGCCCTCGTCTCTTGCCGAGTGTGGCTCTCACGGGCAGCCACCTGGGACGCACTGTGCTTGCCATGCAGGCCCTGGCCACGCTGCTGCGAAGCCCCGCTGTGTGCGCGCTGCCTCTGCTAACGTGTGCCCGCAGTCACTGCGTCAGCGTGGCAGGTGGGAGCTGATTCTCACACTGGGAAGTCTTTGCCAAGTGAGCCGGTTCCTTCAGCTGCAGGAAGTCCATGTTGAGTGTTCTGGTAACTGGAGGCACAAGCGTATGTGGATGGAGGAGCCGAGGTTGGCGAGGGCTGCCCAGTGAGGGCCTGCACTGTGTGCTTCATAGATGCCAGGGGCTAAGTATGATGCAGATAGAGATGAGGTGAAAATGAAGGGTTAGAAACACCAATTTTGTTTGAGGCAGTAAGATTGCCATATATTGTTATAGTGTGCTATATTATTGAATTATGAGGGAAATAAAAAGCTCTTTTTTAATGACTTTTATTTATAATGAATCACCTCCCTCAAAACCCATATATCATAAATCCATGTATACGGATTTCTTTTTTCCCCTTTCCTATTTTTACCATTGGTGCTGTAAAAGTGATTCTTTTACTAATAATTCTTACCATTTTCATATCAGTTGGTATTTTCCAAACATTTCAGCACATCACTGGGCACCAGCTCATGAAGCAGATTGCCTAAGTGCGTATGAGAAACCAGTAAAAAGCATAAACGCCCTGAGGCTTTATTTAGTGAAAGTTTCCCGAGGGGGCAGCCATGCTCAATGCCTTCTCACCTTGTTGACCATGGAAGGCAGACCGCACGGCCGGGAGTGTAGGCAGGGCCTGAGGGAAAGCAATGTGATGACCTGAGCAGAATACGTCTGGTAACGTCCCGGTCGGTGTAGGCCAGCCCCTGGAGATGCCCGCTCCGAGGGGCATTGCTCTCGGGGTGCAGGGAGGGCTGCCCATGCCAGGAGCTGGGGCCAGGCCTCGGGAGCACACCCTCTCGCAGTTCCTTTTGCCCATGATGAGGTGTCCGTTTCCAGGTCAGGACCAGGAGGTGCCTGAGCTCTGGCCTTAGAGAGGTCAGCACTCCCTGATCCCAGGCTCCTCTGCACAGCTGCGCCTTCCGGCCCGCCTGGCCCTGGGCCCGGCGCATTCGCCCTTCTCCCCGGAGAGGCTCCCCTCGGGTGCCAGGATGGTGCCCGTCAGCCGAGGTGACGCCGGTGTCGGGTGTGTTCTCACTTAGGGTGCCTTTCAGTCGTGAATCATCCTTTCAACGTTATGATTATAAATTCAGTTCCAGTCGTGACTGCCCGCCATGGGGCGGCAGCCACACCAGAGTTCATCAGCTGCTGCTTGGACAGATGACTCGGCAGGACACTCTGTGTGCCCGAGGCCCCCTCTCCCCCCCCCTCACTCACAGGGTCTGCCCGGCAGCCCTGCAGGAGCCCAGGCGACCTGGGCCCCCTCCAGCTCCCACCTTGTTCACTCACCACTCGCTTCATAACGGCCCAGCCGGGCAGCCCTGGAGGGAGCACGGTCACTGCAGGCCCGACTCTGTGCTCACCCGGCCTGTGCTTCCAGGCGTATCGGCCAGAGCTCAGCCGGGGCGCGTGACCACGCGAAGACTTACGTGTGAAAGAGACACACCCTCACACACACACACGTAGGTATCTCCATAATCACGCATGCACATGGCTACTGTCTGCACACATCTGTATGCAGATGCACCCCACACACATGTGCCGATTAACCCCAGGCTGAGCCGTACACAGTGCAGGGCTGGGTAAGCAGGCCGCTGGACGGGGCGGGCAGGACTGGACGGGGCGGGCAGGGCACACACGCTGTCACCACAGCCAGGGGGCAGTCGTAGCCCCGCCTCGCCTTTCTCTCTCGGGAAAGTCGCAGCCCTCTTCAAAGGCCCCTGGACTGATGGAACCAGGCCCCCAGGATAAGCTCTCCATTTAAATAAGCTAATTAGGGACGTGACTGACATCTGCAAAACCGCCCCAGCAGTGGGAGACCGGGCGACTCAGCCAGGCCGACAGCCAGAAAGGCAGGACGCCCAGCCTGCTTCGCGAGGGGCAAGCCTCCCCACCCTTCGGTCCCAGCGGAAGCCGCTCTGCTCACTCACACGGCCTAAAGCAAAATCCAGAAAATAAGTTTTAATAGAGCTTTAGACTAAGGAGACGTGTCTAACGTAAGTTGAAGGAGATATTAGTAAGGCTACCTAAAAATAAAGAATCATGGGTAAGAATCATAACACCATCAAAAGAGAAATAATAACCTGGGAGTAAGTATTAGTAATGACATACAAGATTACTATCATAATATATAAAGGAAGTCAATAAATTACTAAAAGTCTTAACTATCTAACAGGAGATTGGGCAGAGAATGTCGGTAGGTTGATTTTAGTAAAGCAAATATAAATCGCCCTTAAACGCAGGCAAAGATGTTCCATTTTATAATGAGATGCAAGTTAGACCTGTAGTCCTCCGTGTCCACCTGTGACTGGTCCAGATAAGCAGCGTGGTGACAGGGTGGGGCAAAGGAGTGGGAAATAAGCACCTCACACCTGGTTGAAGTGAGAAATGATACATTTTCACAACACCCATCAAAACTAAAAGCAGGCTCTCATCTCTCAGCATTTACACACATACTCTTGCACTCATATGAAGTTGTTTATTGCAACATGGTATACTTGACAATCTGGAAATAACTCAAAAGTCTATCAAAGGAAAATACATAAAATCATTTACAGTAATATGCATACTGTGAGAGGCAGCTGAGATCTAAAATTGTTTCCAAAATCCAATGTTAATTGCAAACAGCAACATCATACACATATGTTTGTGCTGATATGGCATAGAATATTCTGGAAGAATACCGAAAATAGCTGCTTTGGGAGTAGCAGATGGTGTCAAGGAGACCCACTTCTCATTGTATACCCTGTTGTGCATTTCTTTTTTAAAAATATATTTTTATTGATTTCAGAGAGGAAGGGAGAGGGAGATAGAAACATCAATGATGAGAGAGAATCATGGATCGGCTGCCTCCTGCACGCCCCCCACCAGGGATCGAGCCCACAACCCAGGCATGTGCCCTTGACTGGAATCGGACCCGGGACCCTTCCACTGAGCCAAACCAGCTAGGGTCTGTTGTGCATTTCTAAACTTGCACCTATTAAAATTACTTCATTAATTTTTAAAAGAATTAAATATTGGGAAATAATTACTCCGATTAATACTGTGAAACTACTGTATTGGCCAAAAAGGGGGCTTATTTAAATTTATAACAACTTTAAAGTGTGCATTGAATTTTCATGGATGCCAAAAATATCAATAGTTAATTGATAAAAGAATTGTGAGATTTAAATTGTAGGTTGAAAACATTTTAATTGCTCATAAGAAATATTTTAGGAGAACTAATATTTATGTTTTCACAAATAGAAGGGGATTTTCCATTATTTAACCAGTTATGAGAAAAGACTACAAGGAATTCTTTCAAATATTTCAGTTGTTTAACTAAGGTGTAAATAACTTTCTTGAATTTGTTAATTTGATCAATATAAATAGTTTTTAATAATCCAAGCACAAAAAAAGGTGGATGTTGAAGCTTGAATTAAATCTAGCATGTGTGTAGTTAATGAAAAGTGTATTTTGATTTGAAGATGATTATTAGTCAAATAATCTTAAGTTTATAATAAAAACTTAAGGGCAGATGTAGTTTAAACATTTCTTTAGATATTAGTAACATGTCAATACTTTAAAATAGAACAGGATTTAACTGAAGAACACAGGTGTGACTCCCCTCTGCCCGCCCGTGGTGGGCCTGGCGTGATGACCCTCCGGTGGTCCTGGCACCTGGGCGCTTACGCTGGAGGCACAGGCACCTCTCCTTCCCTTAGGAACCGGACTGAGCAGCCTCCTCCCAGAACCAAAGACAGGCTTTCAGTTCCGCAACCCAGAGGCACGTCCCACTTACCTCAGCCGTGGAGTGCGTCCAGAATTTCAGATTACAGTCCACTCTCCATGTCTTATTCCAACACATACAGTGATGGTTGGAATATTTAAGACATTTAAATACCCAGTCCGCTAGGGTCCCGCTGAGGGAGGAGGAGAGAGTCGTACTGGTTGGCAATGCCAAGGCAGGGCCAGGCCTGAGAAGGGCGTTTTGTGTCATTATACTAGTAAAGGGTCAGATTTAATACCTGTGCTTCCAAGGTGAGGGACGCTCATTGTGAAGGTCAGGTGGATCTTCGTGGATCTGAAGGAAACCTCACCTCCCCCCATGCCCTGGCGGAGGAGGCTCCACCTGCTGTGGGACCTGCTCCCCTTTGGGGCTGCGGCCTTTCCACTGGAGACTAGAGCCCTGCCAGCTAGGGCAGCCAGTGCTCCTGAACCCTGCTGGTTCTTTTTGCCGCTGTGATTGTGACAAGTCTGTCTATATCTTTATCACTGCTATTGCCTGATTCAAAAATGTCTTTGAAGGAGTCCAAAAATTACAGCCCAGAAAGGGCGTTCCTGGAGCACGCCCAGTACTCTGGTTCAGGACACTGCACTCGCCTGGCAGCTCCATAGAGCAATTCTGTGTCCCCTTTTGTTCACTTCTGAGTCCCCACTTCTTAAACACAGGCACACGTGACAATGTGTCAGATGCATTTTCTACTTGCAGTCAATCCTGGAAAAAAAGAAAAGAGACCAGGGATTGTGGTTTGGAGCCTAATTTTTATTTTGTTACTGTGGAGTGGTCTGTTTTTACCGGAATTCATAAAACTGGAAGGGCACACATTTCTCCTTGCAGAAAGCTAAGGCAGCTAGTGCCACCTCGTGGTGCCCTGCGGTTTGACTTCTGTTTGGAATATCAGCAAAAATAGGAAAAAGGCAATTGTCAACTTTCACTTACACTTTGTTCTCTAAGCAGAAAAGGTGATGCTATTGATTAGGGAGGAATAAATCATCAAATACAAAGCAGACCAAGTAACGACCAATGGTGTAGTGACCAACAATATGCTTTTCATTAAATTTTAAATACTAATTAATACTGTTATAATTCACCATTATGCCTTAGATCTCACTCTCTTTTTCAAAAAAAATGTTTTTAATTGATTTTAGAGAGACAAAGGGAGAGAGAAGGAAACATTGATGAGAAAGAATCATTGATCAGTTGCCTCCTGCATGCCCCCTACGGGGGATTGAACCAACAATCGGGGCATGTGCCCTGACCTGACCGAGAATCGAATCTTGATCTCCTGGGTCATAGGTCGATGCTCAACCACTGAGCCATGCTGGCCGGGGCTACAGCGGCTACAGCTCATTCTTTACAAAGTCTTCATTCTTCTTTCCCCCTGAGCATAGACTCCAGCGGGTTTGCTGTTGGGTATTCTGCTAACTGGCATATTCATCCAGTGCTTAGGGAACGTGAAACTTGCTCTCTGTCTTCATTTCACCGTAAAGTCACTACTGCCCTTTTAGCTGAAGCAACAGAAAACCTCCTGTGTCTTTCAGAGAAGGGCCTCCCAGGTGCAGTGCCCTCCTCTTTCCCGGCGGGCAGCAGGGCGTGGGGCGTGGGTCAGGGCCGGAGCTGCGGGTGACTGAGGGCAGGTGGGGCCAGTGCCAGGGCACTGACAAGGTCAAGGGAATATAAAATTTCTACTCAACTCACAGAAAAAAAAAAAAGAGGTTTTTCCATGAGTCAAATTTAGTAGTGATGCCTGGTCTAAGTTGTGCTGAGGGTGGGTCAGGAGGCTGGGATAGAGACTTTCAGAGGGGAAGGCTGTAGGAATAGCAGGATTAGATTTCCCCGTTTCACAGTGCAAACTTACATCAAAGAACAATCGGGAGGTTGCCATGAACAGCAGCACAAGGCTTCCTGCCTCTGGCGCGCCTGCTCCGGGCTGGGCGTGAGAAGGATGGCTTTCCTGGGTTAGTAGAGGCTCCGCCTCAGAGGCCGTGATGGTGCCGGTGTGATGGTTGCTGACTGTCCCCGGCCACCCTCCGCTCACCCAGATGTCGCTTGGTCTCCACAGAAGCTCAGACAGAGGCCAGCCCCCGCTGCGTGAGCTTTGGAGTCGGGGGAGGGGGGCAGCTGGTGGGTGTTCAATGCCTGCTTCTGACTTCCACGTGCAAGTGAAGAGGAGGAGCATGAGAACCCGCAGCGCCTTTGGGAGGTGCAGGTGGAGTCCGGAGGGGCTGTGAGCAGGAGGGAGCTCTGCCCCAGCAGGTCTGGGGTCCCAGCGGCATTTAGCCGCCCAGGATCCAAGCAGTTTCCCGGAGAATGAGATAAGCCCGTTGCTTTCTGCTTCCTTCCTCATTCTTCCCCCTGTCTTTCTGCACAAGCTACATGTGATTGTTTGCAAATAATTCCACAGCAGAGTAGCAATGCAGAGGTGACCTGCTCTCTGTTTGTGCTTCAGACCTCCTCGCAGGGGACCCGGCCAGAGAGCTCCGTGACCTTTAACCCCTATGAGCCAGAGGGAGCGCCTTGGCCCTCAGAAAGAGGTGAGAGCCGCCCTCTCAGCCCCCAGACGTTTCCTGCTGGGTGAACGGTCCCCACAGCCTCCCTGTAGCGGGTGGGCCTCCTGGGAACCGCTCCTCCTGCTGCTCAGAGCTCCGCCTCCTCAGTGCTAACTCTGCTCCAGGTCCGAGTCCTGAGGGCACGTCTAGGCGGGTGCTGCGCCCACTACACGCCTGGGGGCGGGGGGCAGGGGGAGGCGCACCCTGAGCAGACGCCTGGGCTGCGGGAACGGTTTGATGAGGGAGGTGCTGGCGGGGTGAGGCTCACACTGGAGGCTGCTCAGGAGACCACGCTCCGTGGGCTGTGTCCTCTCTGGACTCGCTATCAGAAACGGCCTCTGCATGGCCTTCTCGGGTCTCTAGGTGACCCCAGGACATTTTTTATTGAACTTGGTCTGTTCGTTGCTACAAAAGCCACCCCAAAATTTAGTAGCTTAAAACCACAGCAGTCATTTACGGGATCTCTCCTTTAATCGCCTGGTGCAGCTCAGGCATTTGGGCCGGGCCTCTCACAGTCACACTGGCAGCCCGGTGCAGGCCGTGGCGAGCCGCCGGGGCCTGGGGCCGGCCCAGTAGCAGTCTCCACTGGGCTCCGGCCTGGGCCTCCCACATCCTTGGGCTGTCTCCCAGCCTGGGAGGCGTCAGGGCAGTGGGACACCTTGCCTGGCGTCTGAAGCCTCAAGAGCCACATTAATGCAAATAAGCCGCTGTCACCTCTCCCGAGAACGTCACCAGCATCGCTCCTGATAGACGTAGCTGACACAGTTACAGCAGCCACCGAGGCAGGGACGCCTGCACCTCCCCATGAAGGAGGTCAGCGTTTTCAGAAATAAAGTCACCACAGCCCACCAGGAGGGCCGTCCGCATTCGCCTCTGGCATGAGAGCCCTGTCCTAATAAACATTCGCGGAGTCACGGACAGCGGGCCCTCGGGCTTATTGCTGCTCCCACGGGCGGGTGAGGCCCGCCTGACTCTCCCTGGCCCTATCACTACCCAAAGTGGCCGAGGGCAGCTGTGGCCACCGGGAGGTAGGCGGGTGGATGGCGGGACTTCACCCGGCCCCGCCCAGCCTGTACTCCCCACTCCGCTGCAGAAGCTCAGAGAGAAGCGCTGCCCATGGACACGGAGGTGTACGAGAGCCCCTACGCGGACCCCGAGGAGATCCGGCCCAAGGAGGTCTACCTGGACCGGAAGCTGCTGACCCTGGAGGACAAGGAGCTGGGCTCCGGCAACTTCGGCACCGTGAAGAAGGGCTACTACCAGATGAAAAAGTAAGTCGGCTCCGCCCCCGCTGGTCCCGCCTGTGTGGGACGTGCTGTGTTCATTTAATCCCAAGCACGAAGGGTAACGCACCAGACCTGAGTCTTTCTTTGTTAATAGTATAATTTTTGTCCATTTCTGGTACAGTTACCATGAAAGCACCCATTATGTATATTAAGTATGTAGATAATAATTATATATGTTAGTTTGGAGGTTACACAGGTGTCTTGTAGAGACTTAGAAAATAGAAACAAGTGAAAAGTAAGAATATAAAAATGTCATATTTATATCAGCCAAATATCACCATTGTGAATCAACCATAGTGTGTGTGTGTGTGTGAGAGAGAGATCTTTATATGCACACACATACACATGCTATTTAATTAAAATGCAATCATTCAGTAACAGTGTTGTCTTCTTATTTTCTTTGATTTTTCAAATTATGTCTCATTTCTCTTACCCAGAAAATTTCTAATTTCAAATATCATTATTTACAATTATTTATTTGCTTTTACCCATAATTTCAAATAACAATACCTATTATGCAATAATTAGAATTGCTAAACTACTAAAATCTCTTTGTACTTCATTTGGCCTTTGGAAAATTACCCACATGGAATGTTCAGTGAAAATACTAATTTCTAAAGTCCTTTGGCACAAACCCCCTCTTTGAATATGTGTGTTTGAATTAGTATGTTACTGGTATGAATAAAGTTGGTTTTGTTGTTCGATGCTATTTTAAATGTAAGGAATTTGTGTAAATGTTTTTGAGTAGGTAAGTCGCATGATCCAAGGGCCAAGAATATAGATAAAGGTCAACACAAAAGTCTTGCTCTCCGTCGCTCGTCTTGCACGTGTGTATGCTAGTATACGTGTGTTTTAAACGTATATTTATATATGTTTGAATAATGTGCTTACCTCAAAATATATGGACGCATACCACAGTCATTTTGCAAAATGGGTTAAATTATCCTGTACTAAAGTATACATTTTCATAACTAGTCTGTGATAGTAAATGTCTGGCTTAGCTATATATGTAAATGAGCATAGACATGATTGTGGATACACAACCTCAGCTGGAGGGGTCGGGAGAGGAAGGCCCTGAGGCAGGGGCACAGGAGGTCTTTGCAGCCCCCAGCACCGCGTCTCCGTCAGCAAACACGGCCCGGCCCCCTTTCCTTGCATCCTCTGTACGTCTCGCGGCCTCCCCAGTTGCTTTTCCGTGTCGAGGTCTGGCTCAACTTTTTGTTGGGCCCATTTGAAGGTATTTAGTGCTTTTGGTGTTGATATGTACGGTATAATTTCTAGGGTTTGATGTGCTTATCCCTGGTGTTGTTTGAATATGGAAATGTATCTGGCTTTGCCTATTGACCTGATACCCAGCAGCCTGGCTAAATTCACCTGTTATTTCTGACTATTATTTCTAGTGACTTATCCTTGCAGTCTTCCACCCAGAAATGTGTCATCTATGACTAATGAGTTTTACGTCCTTCTGTTTAATCCTTACGCATGCTGCGTTTCTTTCTTGCCTTGCTGTAGTGGCCAGGAGCTGCGGCTCAGTGTGGGAGGAAAGTGGCAGTGGCCTCCCTCTCATTCCTGATTTTGGGGAAAACGTCAGTGTTTCCCCGCTAGGTTTGTAGCTGCTCTTATTGGATTAAGAAACTTTCCCCTTTTTCTGACTTTTTTGAGAGCTTTCCACTGCTGGGATAAACAGGTTTTCTCCTTTATTGTGGTACATTATACACTGATTGAAGGATATGTTTATTGATGAGAGAGAGAGAGAGAGAGAGAGAGAGAGAGAGAGAGAGAGAGATGTGATAGAGAAACATCGATCAGTGGCCTCTCATATGCACCCTGACCAGGGATCGAACCCAAAACCTTTTGGTGCACAGAGGATGCTTCTACCACTGGGCTATATTAATTGATTTTTCAAATATTAAACCCATTTTGCATTCCTAGAATAAACTCATCTTGTTCATGAATTATATATTCATAATTTTTTATAATTTACTGAAATTTTTATTATTTCTCATAGAACTTTTATATCTTATGTTCATGAAGGTCATCAGTAAATTATATTCTTGTCATTTCTTTGGCTGGTTTTGGCATCAGGGTAATGCTGGCCTTATAAAATTAATTGGGGAAGTTTCCTTTCTTTTCTCTGTCCTGGAAGAGATTATGGTGTTATTTTTTCCCTAAAACATTGGGAAGAATTGAGAGGTTTTTGCATGTTAATTTTGACCCCTACCTCACACCATACACAAAACCAGTCTGGATGATGAAAACCAGTCTGGCTGATGAAATGTGAAGGTCAAACAATAACTTGTCTAGAGACAGCATAGGACAAACAGTGCTTCCATGACTGAGGAGGAGGAGGGGTTTTGGTGCCGCTCTGTGCCCGTCTGTGTGGGAGCTGCCCGTGGGGAACTGAGAGGCTCGCTGAGCTCTGCTCTGCGCTGCCTGTGCCTGTCTGAGAGCATGTCAGACCTACTCTGCTATTCTCTTACTTTACCTGTTTTATTCCATAGTTCTCGTTTTATTCTTCCATTGTGGAGTCCAACAAATGAGCTCCATACTTCCTGCATTTGTGGGAATCATATCACAGAGAGATGCAGTTTTCAAATCATTCGTAGTTAAGTTCCATTCATTGATGTAAGCCCCACTGTGTCAAGATGTTTTCCAGAGTTCCAACATGATCTGTGTGATGTTATTAGAAAATAAAAAAAATTCATTTTTTGCAAATTTGTTGAGGCTTGCTCAAAATTCACAAAGCACTTTAAAAGTTGTGTAAGCTGAACTTTAACAGCACACGCTTGTTATGTCTGCATCTCTGCTCACCTACATTACACACAATCTGAGATGGCAAATCCCAAAACGTTACCGGAGCCCACTCCTGCCTTGTCTGTCAGGTCTCGTTGGAAGTGACTTACCTGCTCTGTTGTCCTAGGCTTGCTGCTTGGCCGGGGCATTCTGCAGCACCCACCCCCGCCCACTGGTTTTAACTGAAGAATTGTCACTGCCTTTGTCTGTGAAGTGACAGAACATTGTTGGAAAACTAGTCACTTACAGCTTCTTACGATGCATGTCCCTTCAGGGCTGTTATGTGTATAACCCGTTCCTAAAGGACATTTCTCTCGAGCGAGCCCGTTGAGCAGTTCTGAGGTGTGTGGCTTCTTTGCAGAGTTGTGAAAACGGTGGCTGTGAAAATCCTGAAAAACGAGGCCAACGACCCGGCTCTGAAAGACGAGCTGTTAGCAGAAGCCAACGTCATGCAGCAGCTCGACAACCCGTACATCGTGCGCATGATCGGGATCTGCGAGGCCGAGTCCTGGATGCTGGTCATGGAGATGGCGGAGCTGGGCCCACTCAACAAATACTTACAGCAGAACAGGTACTGCCGGCCCCGCGCCTCCGCTGCGGCGCGCACAGAGCACCTGGGGCCCAGGGAGCCTCTCTCCTCCATCCTCCCGGGCACCGTGCGAGAGGAGGCAGCTGCTGTCTTGGGATCAAGTGTGTTTTAGCTCCTTTTGGGCAAAAACAAAAACAAACAAAAACCTCTAATTTACCAGTTTGGGTTTCATTCTCTTTGCCTGCTCTGTCCTGGCCCAGGGAGAGAGTCAGCTTCAGAATGTCTTGGCAGTCAGCGTCACCTCCTAGGAAAGACATGCTTTGTACAAGAACATTTCATGCGCTTTTTATAGGGATGACCGCGGCAGCTTGCCTGTCCGGCTGACCTCTCCGTCCCCACGAGTAGTTACTGCTGAGAGTGCCGCTGCGGTGCTGATGGAATCGCTCAGCCTAGCCGCTGGCTGCTTAATCATCTGCTACATTGCGTTTCTACTTAGGCTGTGCCTTTAATCCCCTGGAAGGGAGGCATTGCTCCCACTTCATGGGGGAAAACTGGGACTCAGGGTGGGTTTTGTTTTCTGTCCACTAGTGAAGCCTGGTTCTCCTTTAGCCGGAATGGCCAGCCTGCTGTACGTTTGCATGCAGTTCAAAGCAAGCCTCAAAAATGGCACCGTTAAACACCGGGAGGATGGTGCTCACTCTTGAACAGCTATAGGGTAACAAGGTCCTTTGTCACCACTTGTAGTCTGCCGGAGGAGAGTAGGAAGTGAGAGGACCCACCCCTGTCTGTGAGGCGCACATCGGCTGTTCCTAAATGGACTCCTGTCCACTGTCACTAATGACACACTTGCCTTGCAGACACGTCAAGGACAAGAACATCATTGAGCTGGTTCACCAGGTGTCCATGGGGATGAAGTACTTGGAGGAGTGCAATTTCGTGCACAGAGATCTGGCAGCAAGAAATGTCCTGCTGGTGACTCAGCATTACGCCAAGATCAGTGATTTCGGACTTTCCAAAGCTCTCCGCGCCGATGAGAACTACTACAAGGTAGGCATAACCAACCAGCCGGTGTGCAGAGCAGCAGGTGGTAACAATCTGAAGTGCAAATGCATCTCCTTTATATTTTACTAGAGGCCCAGTGCATGAATTCGTGCACGGGTGGGGTTTCTAGGCCTGTCCGGTGATCAGGGCCAATTGGGCCAGCCGGGGGGAGGGACTGGCTGGCGTTGGAGGTTGACTGTGGGAGTGCACTGACTACCGGGGACAGCTCCTGTGTTGAGTGTCTGCCCCCTGGTGGTCAGTGGCGTCATAGTGACCAGTCAACCGGTCCTAATGGTCACTTAGGCTTTTATATATATAGATTATGATGGGGTTTCAAGGAGCAATTTCCCTATTTAAGAATAGCTATGCAAAAATGTGCTTCTTAGGCTTTGATTCTATTGTTAAAATGGAAATACTGTAATCCAGTGGTTCTCAACCTGTGGGTCGCAACCCCTGAAAATACATCCTGCATATCAGATATTTACATTACAATTCATAACAGTAGCAAAATTACAGTTATGAAGTAGCAACGAAAATAATTTTATGGTTGGGGGTCACCACAACATGAGGAACTGTATTAAAGAGTCGCGGCATTAGGAAGGTTGAGAACCACTGCATCACAACCTGAGATTTACTCAGAATAGTATCTTCCAAACCACATTCCTTGGACAATAGGGAACCAACAATTAAGTGTCAGAAAGAGAAATTAAGAACACAACCCCATTTACAGTCACATCAAAGGAATAAAAAGTACACAGGAATAAATTTAATCCCGGTGGTGGAAGGCCTGTGCTCCAGGGAAATCACCTCACCGGTCAGGCGGCTGCTGCCAAAGACAAGAACGAAGGCGTGTTGACGGGGTGAGGAGGAAAGGCCGCCTGGGCACTGCTGGTGGGAATGGGCACAGCCACTGTGGAAAGTCGGATGACGGCTCCTCAAAAAATTAAGAACAGAGTTACCTACGACCCAGCAGGCCCACGTTTGCATATTCTCCTGAAGGAGAGAAAGTGGCTGTGTGAGGGAGGTCTGTGCCCCCATGTTTATCGCAGCTTTATTCACAACGGCCAACATCTGGAAACAACCTAAATGTCTACCGGTGGGTAAACGGATAGAGAAAATGCACACACACACGTCAACTATAAAAAGAAGGCAATGCTGCCATTTGCAACAACACAGATGAAGCTTGAGAGCATGATACCGAGTGACATCAGACAGAACAAGACAAATACTCGACCGTCTTACTTACATGTGAAACCAAAGAAGCTGAGCCCCTGGGAACAGAGAAGGTTCTGGGGCAGGAAATGGATGAAGGTGGTCAGAGTACAAGCTGCCAGCTGTGAGCCGAGTAAGCGCTGGGCATCTTGTAAGCAAGGAGGGTGTTAAGAGAGGAGATATTACATGTTCTCACCATGGCAACAACAACACGGTAATTATGTCAGGTGAAGGACGTGCAGCTAACTATACTGTTGTAAACAGCTCGTAAGATATATGTGTATGAAATCATCCTATTGCACAAAAACTAAAAGCCAAGTTAGAACCTGTAAAAAGAGACTAAACACTCTGAGAAGATGGTGACATGGAGGGTATTTTGTAAGCAAACAAAGCAAAATGGGGTAAAAGAATAAAAAGTTGAAGGGGATTAAAAAGAAGTGACAGGGATGGAAGCGAATGAGCGTGGCCCTCGGTGTTCGTGTTCGGGGCTGAGGCAGCGCAGCACGGAGCCTGCAGCGCCCACGCCCTTTGCCACGCAGCTCCGCCGAGATGGGCCCCACGTGGGCACAGACAGGCTCCCTCGTGTGGTCTCCGCAGAAGTGTCTTAGAAAATTGAAGGTTTGGGGACACCATGCGTCGCACAAGTCTATTGGCACCATTTTCCAACAGCAATTTGCTCACTTTGCGTCCTTGTGTCATATTTTGGTAATTCCTGCAATATTTCAAACCTTTGGATTATTATTAGTTTTGTTACGCTGATCTTTGATCAGTGATGTTTGATGTTGCTGTTATTAACGCTTTGGAGCAACATGAACTGCACCCACATAAGACAGCAAACTTAGTAAATGCTGGGTGTGCTCTGATTCTCCAGCGACCAGCCTCCCCCTCTGTCTCCTTCCCCACGGCCCTCCTGCTCCTGAGACACAACACAATTGAAATTAGACCAACTATTAACCCTGCAGTGGCCCCTATGGCTGCCACAGACCACGGCTCCTCGGATGGACCTGGGCAGAGGAAATGAAACCTCTCCTGTCCCTGGGAACATCCATGATTCCTGGGAGAGGCCAAGATGTCAGCCCCGCAGGAGTCTGGGAGAAGTGGGCGGTGCCTGCAGGGCTCGGGCTTCAGGAAGGAGGCACCTGCAGATGTGCCGGGACAGCAAGCGGCCCCCAGGGGAGCTGCAGGTGATGGAACCGTAAGGGTCGGGAGCTGCAGCTCGTGGATGAGCAAAGGAAGTGGTTGCTTCAGACGGACCGACTCCTGGCGAGGAGGCCGTGGAGACTGTTGCAAGACAGCCAAGGCTTTAGAATCTCACGTGAACTTAGTTGGGGAAGCGGCCGCAGGTGTGAGAGGGCTGCCTCCATGTCTGAAGGTTCTGTGGGTGAAATGCCGTCACTCAGTAGCTGCAGAGAAACCAGCGTGAGAGGAAGTCAATCAATGCAATCAACTTCACTCTTGTCTTATTTTACCAACTCCCCGCCCCCCACCTCAACCTTCGGCCACCACCACCCTGATCAGCCAGGAGCCATCAACACTGAGGCAAGACCCTCCACCAGCAACGATTCAGACTCGCTGAAGGCCAGGTGATGGTTAGAACATTTTAGCAATAAAGTATTTTAATTAAGGGATGTACACTGCTCTCTTAGACTGGATGCGTTTGCACACTTAGTGGACGGCAGTATAGTGTAGACATAACTTTTATGCCTTTGCTGTGGTGTCCCGAGTGGAACTCGCAGAACCTCCGAGGCCCGCCTCGCACACTGTCAGCTCTGTCCACTGTAGCAGGATGTGTAATAACAAAATCGGGAAGCCCCTCCGGGAAGCCCCTCTCGCTGGAGGCTGGTTAAGTTAGTTGTAGGAGATTTATATGAAGCACACGATTAACTCTTCTAAAATTGACTTTATTTGCATGTACTGACACACATATACCTAAGACACATGGTTAGTAGAAAAAATAACAAGTAAAGTGCAAAAGGGTATGCCTCTAACTTATTACCCCCAGGAGCATATGTTCCCTATTTACACTTGTATATGTATTTTTCTGGAAGGATCCAAGGAAAGCTCTCAAACATGGTTGTCTCTGTCGACTAGAAGTAGGAGGTGGTGGTGGGCACAGCTGCTGAAAATCTAAATCTAAACATAAAGCACAACATGGATGTGACAGAGGTGTGGTCAGTGTGGCACAGAGAGCGGCCGGGCACTGTGGTCTCACGGCCATTCCCCAAGCTGCCCCTCCCGACCCGCCTCCCTCTGCCCCGGGGACTTCACCAGATTAAAGTGACAGCCCCGGAGGCAGCAGGCCACACGGACCCCGAGCCCCTAAGCAAAGGCCTTTGGCGGGCACAGCTTGGGTCTCTTACTACCTCCTTTAAAATGAGAGCGTGTAAAGTGGTACTGTCAGCAGCCTGTGCCAAAGCAGGGGGTGCTGGCTCAGAGCTGCGGACAGTGCACTTGGAGCCGCCGGGTTCCTGGGCGCCGGACCAGGACTCGGTGCTCGGCGGGGCTCACCTTGTGACCAGCCCACAGGCTGTGAGGGCCAGAGGAGGAGGTGAGAGAAATGACTAAGATACACAAAAGTCCATCTCAGTCATTTAAAAATGTATTTGAAAATGAAAAGTTTAAGATTTTCAGATTTAATCGTATGTTTAAGATTCATACCAATTACATGCACACATGCATGTGGGTGCACACTCACACACACGGCACATGCATGTGTGAGCATACACACGGTGTGTTGTGAGTCATGATTTCATTTTTTTTTTAAATTGTGGTAAAATACCCTTAACTTAAATTTTACCATCTTAACTATTTTCAAGATTACAGGTCAGTGATGTGAAGTACGTTCACTTTATTTACAATAATCTCCAGAATTATTTTCATCTGACCCAGCTGAAGCTGTACTCACTGCAAGCTAAGCCCTGCCACTCCCTCTGCACCGGCCCTGCGCCCCCTCTACTTCCTGTCTCTTCCTCGGCGACTCTAGGGCCCTTGATGAGACGGGACTGGCCTGTTTCAAGCAGCACCTGGAAGGGCCCGCGTGGTTCGGCCCTGCTGGCGTGTGTGTCAGAATCCTTTCCTCCGGAAGGCCGGGACACCCGCTGTATGTCGGAGCCCATTCTGTCTGTCTGTCTGTCCTCGGTCAGTGGGCGTTTGGGCTGCCGCCTCGGTCTCTGGTGAGCAGAGCTGCGTGGACACGGTGTGTGCGAGTTGGTTCTCACGCAGTCCTCCGTTTGCCTTGCTTTCAGGCGCAGACGCACGGGAAGTGGCCCGTGAAGTGGTACGCCCCCGAGTGCATCAACTACTACAAGTTCTCCAGCAAGAGCGACGTCTGGAGCTTCGGGGTGCTGATGTGGGAGGCGTTTTCCTACGGGCAGAAGCCGTACCGGGTTAGCCTCTGCTTCCTGTGTCCTGTCCTGCGGCCTAGTCTGTCTGAACAGATGAGCACCTGTCACCATAGTCGTGGCCTTCCTTCTGAGGCTTCGCTGTCTTTTGACAGTCAACAGGACCTCAGTTTATTCTGAACGGCAGGAGAAATATCTCATGCTAGCTGAACAGTACATCTTTTTTTCATTGCATATTATGCATGTAAATATGCATAAAATGTACCCAAATCAGCATTAATTAAAACTGAAATAGGAAGTATGGCTATTTCAGTATCAAATTGGCAGCTCATTACAGTTTGTTAGATTTTTTTAAACCAAGGTACACATACCAAAAAGGGCGCAGTTGCTAGGATGCAGCTTGATGAACCTTCACAAATGGAACATGCTCGGGAAAGCAGCCCCAGATGAAAACAGACGGAACCCAACTCCCAGCCCCTGCACGCACGCCTCCCGCCAAGGGCCACCTCACTGACTTCCAGATCTTAGCTAGGTGCTCCTGCTTTTGTTCTTTTTATCACTGAAATTGCACTTCATGTACTATTGTTTCACTGGGGATGGCAGATGGGATGTATTTGTGGCTTTGTTTTGTTTTGCTGAGTGCTATGTTTAAAAATCTCAGGTATATTTTACATGTTTTAGGGGATGAAAGGAAGTGAAGTGTCCGCTATGCTGGAGAAAGGAGAGAGGATGGGGTGCCTCCGGGGTGCCCGAGAGAGATGTATGAGCTGATGACCCTGTGCTGGACCTATAAGTGAGTACCCCCTTCCTGCCGTTCATGCAGCCGCTGGGGCACAGCGTGCCGGGCTGTCTTCCCCTGGGGCAGGGTATGCTCCCTCCTACACCAGCAGGGCAGCTCCTGGCTTTCTGGACCAGGCACTTCTATTCTTTAGTCTAAGAATAAGTTGACAATTACACTAATCCCAGATGTCAAATTTAAATGTAGATAATATTGGCGGGGCGGGGGTGGCCACAGCAGAAAGATGTTCCTACATCTGGTCCAGTGCTGTGGACCATACCTGGCGACAGAGGGTGAGAGGTACTTGGAGGGAAACGTGTACTTTCCTAGTTCCTGACCACCTTTCGGGGTAGGGCGTGGACACGATGCTGGTGGCTCTCAGATGAACTGTGAGGTAGCACTGCCGAGGGGTGCCCAGGCCTGGGAGGGTGGCCCTCAGAGTCGCCTGGAGTGCATGTGATCTTATGGCAGCTCAGCAGGAAGGGAGACCCATCACACCTGGGATCAGGGGAGCATCATACCTGGGGATCAGGGAAGGATCACACCTGGGGATCAGGGAAGGATCACACCTGGGGATCAGGGAAGAATCAAACCTGGTGATCAGGGAAGAATCACACCTGGGGATCAGGGAAGAATCACACCT